CGAAGCGCAGGAAGCGTGCATCCGCCGCCAAAGAGGAGGAACCCGAGGACGATGAGTCGGAGGTCGAGAGGCCGAAGGCCAAGAAGAAGGCCGCCCCGCGCAAGAAGTCGCGCGCCACTGTCGATTCTGATGAGGAGCCGAGTCCCGTCAAAGCGAAACCCTCCAAAGCCAAGAACGGACGCGCAAAAAAGGCTGAAAAGGTCGAAGACAGCGACTCGGATGCGTTGTCAACCCCACCCGAGAGTGACGATGACAAGGCCGGGGGTGACAAGGATGAGGCAGAAGATGAGAAGCCCGAGGCTTCTCCCAAGGCACCGGCCAAGGAGAAGTCACCTGTCGAAGCTAAAGATGATGAACCTGCCGAGAAGCCGGAAGCTGCCAACGAGAAGAAGGAGGAACACCCGACGCTCGATGATGACACGACCAGCGAACTATCCGATGTTATAGACGAGCCGCCAAAGCCGAAGCGCAAGAAGAAGGAAGCCGGTGCTCCTAAAGCGCCAAAGGAGAAGAAGGAAAAGAAGGAGAAGAAGGCAGCCGCGCCGGAGAACCCGGACGACGCTGAAATCAAGAAGCTGCAGTCTCAATTAGTCAAGTGCGGCATTCGCAAGATTTGGGGCTTCGAGCTGAAGCAATACGGCGACAATTCAAAGGCGAAGATCAAGCATCTCCGAGGCATGCTGAAGGACATTGGCATGGACGGCCGCTTTTCAGAAGCTAGAGCTCGGGAGATCAAGGAGCGCAGAGAGCTTGAGGCCGATTTGGAGGCGGTGCAGGAAATGAATGAGAACTGGGGCGCTGGTGGCCGATCGTCAAGGAGCAAGGCGCGCGGTCAGCCGGCGAAGAAAATTGTGGAACCAGAGCTCTCCGGCGAGGAGAAGGAGAAGGACGAGGAAGGTGACGATGATGAAGAGGAAGAGGCAGTTGTGTCGTCGCGTGCCCGTGGCAAGGCGCGTGCGGACCTGGCGTTCCTCGGCGACGACGATGAAGAGTCGGATTGATCACCGGCACTCGGACAGAGGAGCATTTTCTTATGGACTCGGAGCATGATTTGGCTGACTGCACTTGCTGCAGGTCGTACTGTACTATATACCATTGGCGCACGCATTGTCATGATGTTTGGGGGTCATCGCGGAATGTCGGCCGAGGCGGTAATGAATATGGAGTCGGATGCCGTTAAGAACCCCGGCACACGTAGCTTTTATCCAGCGAATTTGGTTTCTGATTGGAGGTCCTCTCTGACTCTTGGCAAGTTCCCTGCGGCCAGAGCCGATATCCAGTCTGGTGGGAATCCGCACTTGAAGCGAACCTCTCAAGGGCCAGGTACGTCTGCTCTTCCATCTGTCACAACAACTGGTTCCGACGGCTCAGAGCTGCTTTTGGGCTGTTTAAACGCGCCAGTCAGACGTCAGCATGGCCGCTGGAGACGGAGCTAGGGGCTTGACGGGAGCCGATTTGGCGTCGTTGCGTGAGGTGAGAAGCAGTACGAGCAACGAGAGGGGAAGCTTGGGCGGGCGAGTGCCCATGCCTGTGTCTCCAATTTACCCCGCCACGAGCAAGTGCCCCGCCGACGCCGTCATTTCTCTTCAGCACTTTCCCCCTCCAATCCTCGTCCAACCACCCCACTGCATCCGCCTGCAAGCGCAACACAGGCAATAATAGCCTGAATTGCAACTCTCGTCGCGTTGCCCAGTGAAGCAAGGCAGCTTTGCGACACTTAAAAGACACATCCCCTCTACCGCGTTGCGTGATTTCACCTGGACACGTCGTAAACATTACCTGAATCCGGCAGTTCGTGACCCAAACACTGGGATCGGATTCCCCATTGCCTCTCACTCACGACCTCATCACCTACATCCGTAACAATGACTGACGCTCCTTTCGAGTTCTTGCCCCTGGGCGCCATCCTCCAGTCCTTCAAGGTCAAGGGAACCAACATCGTCCAGGGCTTCCCGACCCAGGAGCTCTACGAGAAGCACAACTCGCCTTACTTTGGCGTCACTGTCGGCCGCGTCGCGAACCGCTTGGAGAACGCACAGCTCAAGTCGCTCAACGGCGGCCAGACCTACAAGCTCGCCGCCAACGACGGCGCCAACAACCTGCACGGCGGCAACAAACCCTGGAGCAAGCGTGTGTGGGAGGGCCCCAAGCCCGTCGGCACCCGCGAGATCCCCGGCGTCGAGGGTCTCAAGGGCGGCGAGAGCGTCGAGTTCTCGCTCACCAGCAAGGACGGCGACGAGGGTTTCCCCGGCACCGTCAAGGCCACCGTGATCTACACCGCCGGCACCCAGGAAGTCGACGGCAAGGAGGTTTCGGTACTGGGCATGGAGTACGAGGCGAAGCTGGTCGACGGCGCCGACGAGACGGCCATCAACATGACGAACCACTCCTACTTCAACCTCACGGGCGACGACACCTTTGCCGGCACCATCGCCACGCTGGCGACCAACGCCTACCTGCCCCGCGAGAACGGCATCCCGACCGGCGGCCCCGCGCCGTTCCCCGGCATCGAGGGCGGCAAGGCCTTCGAGCTCGGCGTCGACGGCCCCGCGGTCGACGACTGCTTCATCGTCAACGAGAAGCCCGACTCCGTGCCCATCGACACGCGCAAGGAGCCGCTGAAGCTGCACGTGCACGCGAAGCACCCCAAGAACGGCGTCAACCTCGAGGTCCTCAGCACGGAGCCCGCTTTCCAGTTCTACACGGGCGAGGGCATCGATGTGCCTGCCGTCGAGGGCGCGCCGGCGAGGGGCAAGAGGAGTGGGTTCTGCGTGGAGCCAAGCCGGTGGGTGAATGCGATCAACGTGGACGGGTGGAAGGGCCAGATGTTGCTGAAGAAGGGCGAGACTTATGGAACGCGCATCGTGTACAAGGCCTGGAGCGACTGAGCGGGTGCTGGATGTGAAGCTTGATGAGGATTGAGGAGTAAAGTAATGATATCAACGTATTGGCCTCGTAATCATCCGCCAGACGCTATCGTGATCGTGCATGACCTGGATGAGTTTCCCTGATGCTTGGGCCTGCGGATGAGAATTCGTAAGCGCCTGATTTGGCTCATGAGTTACACGCCCGTGTGCCATGAAAAAATAGCCGATGTGACTGATCTGATGATGGAGATGAAAGCATAAAAGATGGGACGAAGACGAGCTCTCGCAGGGTGCGCAGCTCACAGAGGGGCGCTAGCTTTATCTTAGCGTCTTTTGGCTGCTTATCGCGCCAACGCAACGGTTAGCGCAGGGACTGCCAACCTCCAAGGAAGGATCGCCCCGAAGTGTAACTGCCGGACGTACTCAACGAACGCCAATTTCAACCTCTCGACAACTCCCTCACCGACTGCGGCTTTCCTCTTCTACACACGAGATATCCCTGGTCGAAAATAAACCTCTCCACAGGCTAGGCGGTTCAAGACTCACGGCGACCGCCACGCCCTGCATTCTTCAAACTGACAACTTTCGAATAACCCCGGCGAGTCAGACGCCCATTTCAACACCGCCCAGACGGGGCGATCCATCAATCATGACAGACGCCTTCCCGACCCCGACGGCGACGCCAAAGCGCAAGAGAGACGAGGAGGCCCCTCCGCTGTCGCCCATCTACACCACAGCCAAGTTCTCCTTCCAGCTCCCGGATGCTAAGAGCGACGAGGATGGGAGCGCGAGCCCGCGCAGCAAGGTGGTGCACAAGTTCCGTGGTTTGGCGCTCAGCGGTGGTGGTGGTGGTAGTGGTGGGGGCGGGGTAGCCCAGCAACAGGGCAGTAGCCAACAACCTCAGCGCCAGGGCCCCTACGACCCGACTCGCGACCTGGGTGACAGCGGCGACGGAGCCTACGACGACGACCCCTTTGCGAGCCGCAAGAGAGCCAAGATACCCGAGCTGGAAATGAAGGATGCCGATGAGGACGAGCCGGTCGCGGTTCCGGACCCCGGGGTCAGAAGTGACCCGGGCCTCGCCCCGACGAGTGTGAGCGTGGCCGCGCCTGAGGCAGCGGCTGCTGCGGAGATTTCCCCCGCCTGCACAACGGCTACCACTACGAGTACGGCGGCCGCGCCTGGCCTGCAACGACCACAAACCTTCTTCAACCGGCTACAAGACGCAAAGGCTAGAGGACGCAGACGAGCCGGCACACCGCCCCTCAAAGGCCGCAAGGGCAAGAACGCCGCGGAGGCAGCGCCACGAGACGAGGACGAGGAGATGCAGATTGTGGACCCCGTCAGGGCGGCGCTTACGTGGAAGGAGGAGGAGATTACAATCTACGACCCGGACGATGAGGACGACGACGGCACGGGAATCAACGGGGTCGGGTTCATGCCAACGGCGGCGATGGCGTACGCGCGCACGCAGAAGCGGCGGCTGCAGCTGGCCGAGTACAAGAAGCGGGAGGAGAGCGAGGCGAGAGCCCGGCGGAGTCAGCGCCGACGCGGCAGCGGCGCGGGCTTGGGGGTCAAGATTGACACGAAGCCGGCTTCCGGAAGCGGCGTACGCAAGGTGCGGTTCGACTCGGAGCCGAATACGATTGTGACGAATGGATGAGCCGGTTGGGTTGTGCTGGAGAAGTCTTTACTTTTGGCTGGCATGTATGGCTCGGACGAAGGCTGGTGTTTATGGGCGTTTACGTGGTTTTGTTCTTCTGGCACAGGCGTGGGCGGCGACGACATGGCTTGCATTTGAGGTATTCGCTACTTGGCTTTTGGGTGTACCGCTGTCATTAGACGATGACCAGTCTGGTATCTTTTTTTCATCGACGCAGGAGAAGCGCCACTGCGATTTTGCTACTAGCAAGCAAGGGAGTCTGGGTGGACGACATTGATATAGTCTTTCTTTTATACCCCAAACACGAAATGGACTTGAGATGATACAAAGCTTACATCTTCCTATCACGACGCATGCATCGTGCCCAATGCCACCGACGCCTTCTGTGCATAACAGAAGGTATATTCGTACACGGAGGGACATGAAAGAGATTCTCCAAAGATGGGGGCTGACGTGTGTTTTTTGCTTTCTCACCAGAACTTATACCAAGCCTTCTGGCTAGCCTTTGCGACCTCCTCGGACTTCTTCTGCTCCAGCGCCGCCGCGGCCTCCTTGCGGCGCTTCTCGGCCATGGTCTCCTGGTAGACCTCGACCGTCCTCTTCATCCTGATGCGCTCCTGGAGGCGCTCGTACTGGCAGTACTCATGGCGGCCGGCCGCACCGAGCAGGAAGCTGCCAACGGCCCAGTTTGAGGCCTTGCCAATGGTGCCTATGAGATATGCGTCAGCTCTAGCTCATATGCGTCTTACCGATGCGCCATGAAACGTTAGAGAAAGGGGAGCATTACCCTTAAAGACCAATCTCAACCCGCCCACGACGAATCCCGCCGCGATACCCGTGAGCAAGCCGTCCCTCGCGCAAGGCGCCTGCGCGAACGTTGTGAAATCCTCCGACTTGATGTTCTTGACGACCTCCCAGGCCGTGGTGGGCTTCTGCGCGGCAGCGGCGCCCTCCTGCACGGGGAAGTTGGCCTGGAAATCCTTGGGGTCGGGCTTCGATGCTGCTGCTGCCGCTGCCGCCGCTGCTGCTGTCGTCGGTGGTGATGGTGATGGTGATGGTGATGTCTCTGAGCCGGGTGCGCCCTCGCCCACGGGCCCTTGGGTTGACCTCGACCAGAGGTACAGCTTCTTTCCCTCTTTTCCGTCCTTTCGGGGGTCTGGGATGCTGACGGGCTCTGGTGTTTCTTGCGCCATTGTTGCGTATTGGGTTTGGCTCACACGGTGCGACCTTTCACTTAAGCTTCTCACACTCACTCAAAATCTGTTCGTGGTCTGAGATGACGTCCACGGATTTCTGGGCTGAGATGGTCTGTGCGTCTATGTGGGAGACAGAGGCACCCCACGCGATTGAGTTAATGGCTTTGGATTGCAGTTATTTTGTGTATCTGATTTTGACACGTTGATGAAGAGACATGAGTCGCCTTGGAAATAGCAAAGCCTAAGAACTTATTCGACTTCAATTGAGACCTAATCTCCGTTACACTTGATCGATCACATTCAAGATGACACTGAAGCTCAGGTCCGAGACTGGAACAAGCTTACCTAATTCCCCAATGGAAGCGCCCTCGATGCACCCACCCCGGTCCCCTGGCCAGCCGGCTGGCTTAATTGATTGCGGGTCCGTCACTGAGACGTGCATTCGTCGCGTAAAGTCGCGCCCGAAGACGCGTCTGGCCGTCGCTCTGGACCACCATCCACCCCGGCCCGCGATCTACCTAAAAGTTGTGCATCCGGCCCCCCCTAGACGTACACAAAAGTGACAATTGCCAAACTCCCACTCGTCCAATTCCAGAGTGTTGGACAATACCCATACCGTTCTTGTTTCCTTCGTCCCTTTTTTGTTCCCCAAGCCACCACAACTCCTGAGATACCCCCTTGACGTCCAGTCCACCTCATACGAAAACTTCAGCATCGATTTCGTCCTAGTATCCCGCCGTCGAACACACCCCGCTACCAAATGAGAGAGAGGACCACCACATAGACACACCCACGATGCCCAACACAAGCCTCCGGCGCCCGCAAAAGGGCTTCCGCCGCGGCGGCAAACAAGCATACCATGGCGCCCGCACAACGCGCACCTTCGCCGCGTCAGGCCGCAACGAAGCCACCTCGGCCGACGAGAAGTGGGAGCGCACGCGGCTCGCGCACCAGATCGACGAGAACATGGGCTTCGCCCGCTACGAGGGCGGCAAGCGCAAGGAGGGCTGGCTGGTCAACGTGCAGCCGACGTCGGTCGAGGACGACCGCAACCCGAGCGGCCGCGCGGCGCTGGACTGCTACTTCCTCGAGGACGACGGGCAGACGTTCAAGGCGACGGTCGAGTACGACCCGTACTTTTTGATCGCCGTGAAGAAGGGCCGCGAGAGCGAGGTCGAGGAGTGGATCAAGCGCGTGCCGGGCGGCGGCGTCGTCAAGACGATCAAGCGGGTTGAAAAGGAGGATCTGAAGATGCCGAACCACCTGTTGGGGTACCGCCGGACGTTTCTGGAGCTGCGGTTCGCGAACGTGAACGACTTGATGGCGGCGAGGAAGGATATCATGCCCATTGCAGCGAAGAACAGGAAGAATGTGGATGCGATGGACGCATATGCCGAGGTCGCGACGTATGTGTTGGCCCCTGCGAGTGTGTGTTTTGGAGAGGACAGTGGTTTTGCTGACTATTTGACAGGACAAACGGCGACTTTGACCTTTTTGACGACTCACGAGATGACGATAGACGAGCTAATGCTTCTTTTGCCGATGCCAGCGACTTCATTGTCGATATTAGAGAGTACGACGTACCGTACCATGTAAGAGTAATGATAGATATGGGTAGGTTTGACTTCGAGACGTGGGCGGCATGACGCTAACCGTGGTAGATATTCGGGTGGGAAAATGGTATTTCGTGGACGTCAAGCACGGCGTCACAAAAGTCACAATCAACGAAGACAGACTAGCCATGGCCGATCCCGTGGTCATGGCGTACGATATCGAGACGACGAAGCTACCCCTCAAGTTCCCCGACGCCGCCATCGACCAGGTCATGATGATTTCGTACATGATTGACGGCCAGGGGTTCCTTATCACCAACCGAGAGATCATTTCCGAAGACATTGGTGACTTCGACTACACCCCCAAGCCAGAATACCCGGGTCCTTTTATGATCTTCAACGAGCCCGACGAAAAGGCCGTTCTCGAGCGATTCTTCTTGCACATCAAGGAGGCACGACCGACGGTCATTGCGACGTACAACGGTGACTTTTTCGATTGGCCGTTTGTCGAGGCGAGAGCCAGTTTCAACGGTATCGACATGTACCAGGAGATTGGCTGGAAGAAGAACAGCGAGGATCAGTACCAGTGCAACTACAGCGTGCATATGGATTGTTTCCACTGGGTCAATCGAGACTCCTACCTGCCTCAGGGATCTCGAGGTTTGAAGGCTGTTACTGTCGCGAAGCTCGGATACGACCCCGACGAGCTCGATCCCGAATTAATGACGCCGTATGCGCAAGAACGGCCGCAGACGTTAGCAGAGTACTCAGTTTCCGATGCCGTGGCGACGTACTACCTGTACATGAAATACGTCCACCCTTTCATCTTCTCGCTTTGCACGATTTTGCCGCTGGGCGGTGACGACACACTGAGGAAAGGTACTGGTACCCTGTGCGAGATGTTGTTGATGGTCCAGGCGTACCAGAAGGAGATTGTCCTGCCGAACAAGCATGTGGCACCAAGAGAAGCCTTCTATGAAGGCCACCTGCTTGACTCAGAAACGTACGTTGGTGGTCACGTCGAGAGTATCGAAGCCGGCGTCTTCCGAGCAGATATTCCCGTCAACTTTGCAGTCGATCCGGGTGCAGTGGACGAGCTGTTGAAGGATCTGGACGCTGCGCTTAAGTTCAGTATCACGGTCGAGGAGCAGAAGTCCATGGACGACATTGTCAATTACGAAGAGATCAAGGAACAAATTGCGGATAAACTGCGCTCTTTGAAGGAGACACCAAACAGAAGCGAGCGACCCCTGATCTACCATCTTGACGTCGCTTCCATGTACCCCAACATCATGACGACAAATCGACTGCAGCCTGACTCCATGATTCAGGAGTCGGATTGCGCCGCGTGCGACTTCAACAGGCCAGGAAAGACTTGTGACAGGCGCTTGCCGTGGGCTTGGAGAGGAGAGTACCTACCTGCCAAGCGTGACGAGTACAACATGATCAGGAATGCACTAGAAAACGAAAAGTTCCCGGGCAAGTGGCCCAACTCGCCGATGCGAACGTTCCAGGACCTGAGCCCCGACGAGCAGACGGCTCTCCTGAGGAAACGACTTCAGCTTTACTCTCAAAAAGTCTACCACAAGATCCACGACTCGACGACGACCGTCAAGGAGGCCATCATCTGCCAGCGCGAGAACCCCTTCTACATCAACACGGTGCGCGACTTCCGTGATCGTCGCTACGACTACAAGGGCAAGGCGAAAGTGTGGAAGGGTAAGACGGAGTCGCTCAAGTCGTCAGGTGCGACGTCATCCGAGGTGGACGCAGCGAAGAAAATGATCATTCTTTTTGACTCGCTGCAGCTTGCCCACAAGGTCATTCTGAACTCGTTCTACGGCTACGTCATGAGAAAGGGTTCTCGTTGGTACTCCATGGAGATGGCCGGCGTGACCTGCTTGACAGGAGCTACGATTATTCAGCTTGCCCGAAGCCTTGTTGAGCGTCTCGGTCGCCCTCTGGAACTGGATACCGACGGTATCTGGTGTATGCTTCCAGCCACGTTTCCCGAGAACTTTGCGTTCAAGACCAAGAACGGCAAGAAAGTCACCGTGTCCTACCCCTGTACCATGTTGAACCACTTGGTTCACGCGCAGTTTACCAACCACCAGTACCAGACGCTCAAGGACCCCAAGACGTTCAAGTACGAGACGCACAGCGACAATTCCATCTTCTTCGAGGTCGACGGCCCTTACAAGGCCATGATCCTGCCGACGTCGAAGGAGGAGGACAAGAACTTGAAGAAGCGATACGCTGTCTTCAACGATGACGGTAGTCTGGCCGAGTTGAAGGGTTTCGAAGTCAAGCGCAGAGGTGAGCTGAAGCTCATCAAGATCTTCCAGCAGCAAATTTTCAAATTCTTCCTGGAGGGCACGACGCTTGCAGAGTGTTACACCGCGGTTGCCAAGGTGGCGAACCAGTGGCTGGACGTTCTCCATAGCAAGGGCGTGACTCTGGCGGACGAGGAGCTCATGGAGCTCATTTCAGAAAACAGAAGCATGTCCAAGACGCTTGAAGAGTACGGTAGCCAGAAGTCGACGTCCATTACCACGGCCAAGCGCCTGGCCGATTTCTTGGGCGAGCAGATGGTCAAGGACAAGGGTCTGAACTGCAAGTTTATCATCTGCGCCAGGCCGAAGAATGCTCCAGTCACCGAGCGCGCCGTGCCGGTCGCCATCTTTTCCGCCGAGGAAACCACCAAGCGGTTCTATCTGAAGAAGTGGCTGAAGGAGGAGCCTGCGGACACGGACCCAAGAGCTTTGTTGGACTGGGACTACTACCTGGAACGTCTGGGTTCAGTCATTCAGAAACTCATCACCATCCCAGCCGCGCTGCAGAAAGTCCGCAACCCCGTCCCTCGCGTGCCGCATCCAGACTGGCTTCAGAGGAGAATCAACATCAAGGAGGACAAGATGAAGCAGAAGAAGCTCACTGATCTCTTCACCAAGGGCCCATTGGAGGACATCACCAACCTCAATGGCCGAAACCTGAACGACATGGAAGACTTTGGCAGCCAACTGCTGAAGCCGAAGCCGGTAGCAGCCGTAGTGGCTTCCTCGCAGCCGGCCCCCGTCGCCCAGAAGAGAAAGTCCCCCGAGCCCGCTGAGAACGCAGACCCTTTTGCTGCGTTGCCAAAGGTTATGCCATCACCTTCAGAGGACTATGTCGGTTTCCTCCAATACCAGAAGCAAAAGTGGAAGATTCAGAAGCAGGCCCGCATCCGTCGCCGACAGCTTTTCGGTGACCGACGCGGCAACCAGAGTAATATTCAGGCTACGTTCATGAAGCAGGCGCACATTACGTTCATGAACACCTGGCAGCTTCTTCATCTCAAGGCCACCGAGACCCCTGGCGTCGTCAACGCCCACGTTCTCATCGATGCCAAGATCCACACCCTCAAGATCAAGGTCCCGCGGCAGGTGTTCTTGAACTTGAAGAGTGGCGACATGCCGGACGTCGATATCCCGGGTTGTGAGGTGGAGCAAGTCAACCACACGCTTCCCAACGGGCACTCTTCTGTGCATCTTTTCAAGCTTACGGTCCCCGAAGACACCTACTTTGCCGAGGCGGACAATTTCTCTTTGCTTTTCAACCACCCCAGTGTCGAGGGCGTGTACGAGAAGCATCTTCCTCTGAACATCAGGGCCGTCCTCCAGCTCGGTAACCTCTGCACAATTGACGAGCAGCAGCACGCTGTGCTCGGAAAGGGTCTTGACCAAGGATTCGACCTGTCTGGCCTGAAGCGACCATTGAAGTCAAGAAGCTATCTCGACTCGTCCCCAATGGCGTACATTTACATCTCCCACGTCACTGCCGGCGACAAGCAGATTTTCGGAGTCTTCTCAACAACACGGGACGAGGCACACGTCATCATTCTGCAAAAGGGCAGAGACTCTGGACAGGACCTTCCGAACGTATCCAGAATCTACGCGGAGCTCCTTGCTCGACGCGGAGAGGAGGCCGAAGGCACCAACTGGCAGGACTGCTTCCGATACCAGGAGAAGCTCACCTTCAAGATCACGCAAGTGACGACCAAGAGAAAGGCCCACCTAGAGCTCAGCGACGTCGTCAAGAAGATGAGAAAGGACGAGCTGCGACCACAAATAATGGTCATCCAGTCCTCACAGCGCAACATGCTTATCACTGACGTGCCGATTCTGGGCGACTTCCCTGTGCTTCCGCTCAAGTACGATCCCGCCGACAGCTCTCTCCCGCCTCTTGGCTGGCAAGCCGTCGTAGCGAAGCGTCTCGTGGGACATTACCTCGGACTGGGGTCCTGGATCTTGCATCTGACGACCCTTGCTCGGTATGGTGATGTACCACTGTGCAATCTGGAGCGAGAAGATCCCCGCTTCCTCATCGACATTACATATGCCCGCCGTCTGCAAAACAACAACATTGTTCTTTGGTGGTCTGGCAGCCCTCGCCCCGATCACGCAGGCTACGAGAAGGACGACATCACGGGGCCGCTGCAAACCGTGCAGATGCCCTCCGTCAACAACCCCGGCACGTTCTCCTCGGTCTGCATTGACCTGGAAGTCAGGAATCTTGCCATCAACACTATTCTGACTTCATCTCTGATCAACGAGCTTGAGGGTGCCGACTCCATCTCCTTCAACCCCGCTGGTGACTCTGCGGCCGGCGAAGAAGTCATCACGTCCGAAGGCACCTTTGCCAACGCGGGCGTCCTCGTGCTTCGTGAGATGGTCAAGAGTTGGTGGCAGGAAGCGTGCAAGGGGAACACCATGGCAGACGTCATGGTCCAACACCTTGTTCGCTGGGTCGAGAATCCGGACTCGTTCCTGTACGACCGAGCGCTGCACTACTACGTGCAGATGATGTCTCGCAAGGCGTTCCAGCAGCTCATGGCTGACTTCCGCCGGGTTGGATCACAAGTCGTCTTTGCCAGCTCAAACCGTTTGCTTCTGCAGACTACCAAGGCCGAGGTCGGCACAGCGTATGCCTACAGCCAGTACATTATCAAGTCGATCAAGAGCAAGCCCCTGTTCCACTTTATCGATCTCGAGATCAAGGAGTACTGGGACTACCTCGTATGGTACGACGAGTTCAACTACGGAGGCAAAGCGTGTCAGGAGGTGGTCGAGGCCGAGGTTCAGGAGCTCGACACGGTCATGCACTGGCAGATGGCCACTTTCCTGCCCATTCGCCTGCAACCCACGTTCCAAGACTGGGTAATTGAGTTCATCCAGCTCATGCACGGTCTCAAGCGCCCGCAGGGTGAGTTCGACTCGACGCCCCGGCTCACGCAGCTCCCGCAAAAGTCACTTGCCGAGGGCGCCGAGGGACAAATCATTCTCGGCAAGAAGTTCGAGAAGCCCCTCAAGAAGGACATTGCCAACCTTGTCAACCTGCAGAAGAGGGAGCTCCTGCACCCTGAGCTGGCGGGCGATTATTCCTTTCCCCAGCTCCCGGGCAGCCACCTCGCGCACCTATCCTCGCGGAACGCGGTGCTGGAGCTGGTCAAGGCCCTTATGCAGGTGCTCAGCCTGGACAAGAACATCACGCTCGAGGCGCGGCTGCTGCGGAAGGAGCTGCTCGCCATGTTCGACGTTAGGGAGTTCAGCAAGGAGGGCGCATTCCAGAACCCGAGCGAGAGCCTCAAGCTGCTGCAGCTCTCATGCGACAGCTGCACGATGGCGCGCGACCTCGACTTTTGCAGGGACGAGGACCTGCTGCCGGAGGTGGGGCCGGATGGGAAGCGGATGGGCGCCGAGACGCGGCCGTGGAAGTGCACGTTCTGTGAGGCCGAGTACGACCGCAACGCCATCGAGGAGATGCTGCTGGCGCAAGTCGAGGCGTTTGTGGTGGAGTGGAGCACGCAAGATCTGAAGTGCTCCAAGTGCGGCGCGCTCCGGCTGAACGAGTTTATGGAGCATTGTACGTGCTCCGGGGAGTGGGTTGAGAGCGTGAAAAGAAAGGAGATTCTGAGAAAGGTTGGTGTGTATTGGAATGTGGCCAAGTTCTTTGGCTTGAGGATGCTAGGGGAGGTCACGGAGGGGTTGAAGAAGGGGTTGTAAGGGGGTCTGGTGTGCATATACACGGCGTTCATGGTGATTTTTGGGGGCCTGATGAGATATTGAATACACATTTAATGCATGAACTTCTAAGCTTTTGTCTGTTACATTACCCATTACTTTGACGTCTTTGTGTCGGCCGGTTGTGTGTCGAGCGCCGTTGAAATGCCCGATGTCCCACTTTTCTCATCCGGGCCCGGGGTCGGCGGGCTTCCCGGTGACCGGGATGGATCACGGAGCTGCTTAGCGTCTTGGTCAGAGTCTAATTTTACAAACTGCTTTTCCACCATTGTCGACCATTCAAGCCGGAGACCGGGCGCGGCTTGCGGGTAGAAGCGGATATCGGCCCAGTGTGGCAGGCAGGCTGGCAGCCCTCATATTGAACGCATCAGTTGCGGTAAATGGGAAGGATGGAACCGAAACCACGACGGCTTTCCCGCTCGTCCCTTCGCGCTTCGGGCTTTCGTGCGTTCGCCTTATCGCTGCTGGTGACGTTGATGGTACAGTATGCAGGCGGGGTGCGGTGCAGTATCCGACGGCTCGCGCTCGCGCCCTTACCCGCCATCCGGCTGTGCTTAGGTTGGTGCTGGTGGTGTTTGGTGAACCACCCATCCCCGCCGCAAGCCGCGCCGGGAGCTGCGTTTCGGTTGGAGTTGTTTGGGTGCTTATCTATTGAATCCGTCAGATTTCATTCTCGGGGAGGCATGGTTTGGAGGGGGGCCGGGTGTTGGGGTTGTAGATCCCGTGGGCTGCTTCGGATGCGGGGTGTTGGTGTGGTCACTTTGGGATGAACTGCTTTACGTCGTTGCAGCATCGTAGAAGAGAGATTTTGGCTTGTGAAGTGTTTTGGTCTAATTCGTGATTTGGTTCATTCGGCGAGAATGACGGATCGTAATATAGTCGTAGATATACATAATGTCATAACCCTCATCCCCGCAGAAACTCCAGACTCCTGCTGCCGCGCCGAAACTCACGCGTTGAACGGAAAACTGTCCCATTGAAAGATGTTCAGACTCTCCCAGTCGATACTCAAATCATCATCGTCAAGCTGGACCTCGGGCCAGCTACCCGGGTCCCCTGCGCCCAGCCCACTTCCGCTCATACCGCCCTCGCCAACCACGCCCTGCTCGAACCGTATCAGCGGCCAGAAGCCCGCCTCGTCCTCGCCCTGGGGTCTCTGAGAAAATAGATTGCTGCCGCTGCTGACGGGACACGGCGGGTCGAGGCTGAAGAGCTTGGAGACGTAGCGGCTGCCGCCGACGGGGGCGGGCTTGGCGCGCCGCTCGGAGATGGCGTTGGAGAGGGAGGTGAGGATCTCGAGGTAGTGCGCGGCCTGGTGGCTCTGGGCGGCGAGGAAGGCGAGGACGTCGATGGCGCCCTGAAAGGCGCGGTCGGTCTCGATGTCGATGGCGGACTTGGCGAAGTTTTCGACGCCGAGGACGAGGCCTGCTGCGAAGACGAGGGCTCTGTTGGTGATGGTTAGTGGTTGTTGGATTATGGGATGAGATGAAGGGGGGGGAAGACGTACTTCATGATGCACATGCTCCGCTGCAACAGCCCCGCCTTGAGCGCGTCGGCGCACGTCTGGGCGAGGTACACGGCGGCGTCGATGCAGGCCGCGGCGAGGGGCGGGTTGTGGATCTTTGCGTCGGGGCGGTTGCTGTTCAGGGAGGAGATGAAGACGGGGCGGGTGGCGAGGGTGACGGCGAAGTAGTACAGGCAGGAGACGTGGATTTTTGCGATGGCGACGCGCTGGGTTGACGAGGAGGAGTCTGGCTCGGACGGCTGGTGGTGGTGGAGGGAGCCCTTGAGGGACGGGGGCAGGCCGCGCTTCCAGGCGTCGATCTTGAGGAGGAGGTGCTCGACGACGGTGGCGGAGACGTCCTTGTCGTGGTAGAGGGTGTTGTTGATCTCGTTGATGATGTCGACGATCTCGCAGGTCGCGGTGAGGCACTGGGTTGCGTAGTCGTCCGGGTGAGGGGGCAGCTGGTCGAGGGCGGCGCGGATGTCGGTTTGGACGCCGGCTGTGGCGGCGGGGCGGCCGAGGAGGGAGTTGACGAGTTTGTCGAGGATGCGGACGCTGATCCAGACTCGTAATCTGGTGGATGTTGGTTAGATTGGTGAATGAGAGTATGTATTCAAGGACGACGTACCGTAGTTGGCCCTTCTGATCCGGCTTGCCCATGAAAGAGCTGGGACTATGGAGGCCGAGAGCGAGGGCGGCGCGGGCGGCGATGGAGAGGTACATGTAGGCCGTGTTCCTGCGGCACTCGCCCAGCATGTAGAAGGCCATCAAGAGGAAGAGCCGGACCATGTGAAGGTCGGGGTCCTCGAGGAGCTCTGCGAATGCTTGGCGCTGGGCTCGTCGGAAGCAGCTCCGGCCAATGGTTTGCGCCTCGGACGCGCTGCTGCACTGCGCGCCTATCGCTATTACCATTTCTCTAATGGGGTCTGGGAGAATGTTTGGGGGTGTTGAGGGACGGTCGTCGCACGTGTTTGATGACTGGCTCTGAGCTAGGTGGAAGAGCTGCTGGCGTTCACTCGGGTCGAAGATGTCGATGAGGCCTTCGGTCTGTTTTGTCGTGAGTTGTCTGTATGAGACTATGAGTGAGGGTACATACTGCAGAGTAATAGCAATGCAGATACGCCAGCTTTTGTTGCACGTTCAGTTCAACTGCGGTCTCTGCCGATGGGGAGGTCGTGGCGCGAGTTTCTGGTGACTCAACTTCGAGCATCGTCTCGGTGTCATCGTTGTGTGAGAACGGAGAGGGCCCGATCTGCCCGGCGACGACTTGACGGACTGTTTGGAGGAAGGATATCGCTGCGGCGCCTCCCACGTATACTTTTCATGGCGTTAGGATGAATAGAAAGTCATCAGGAGATCTCACGCACCTTGTTCACCGTGAAGACTTCGAAGCATCCGTGACGGGTTCGCCAGCAGGGATGGATCCGTCGCAATCTGAGTTTCCCTCGGCGGCGTCAAAGGCCGCGGGTCAACATTCATACTCGTCTCCTCATCTTCTTGCTGAGAAGCAGGAGGCGACAGGCGAAGTTGTCTCTGCCCAGCTCCATTCCCACTCCTCCGCGACCGATCCCTCGGTGACACCGGCGAGCTCACCGAAACCGTGATGGACTCATTATCCAGCGCCGGCGTCGCGCGCGACCTCCTCGTCCCCCCGCCCGCACTGCTTTTTGAAATCTTCCTCGTCCTCGACCCCCGCGGCAGCTCAGTCATGCAACAATCCCGCTCCAGTCCGCGGCGCACGCATTGCGTACACGGTGCGGTGCCGCTGCACCTCTTCTTGGCCTCGCGACAGAAGCTGCAGGCCTCCGCGGCCCTCTGGCGCAGGCTCTCGGGGACTTTGGGGCGAGGCATGGTGGATGTGTTCAGAAGATGCGAAACGGCTAGCACGAATGGCGAAATCGCATCCCTTGAATTCATGGAGTAATGGGAAAAGGAAAATCTGGGGTTTGGAGGGGTGACTTACACAGACAAGCCTTCTGGATGGGGTCGGCTGCCGGCTTCCGGGGGGCGCTGGATCCCCTGCTGCCGGGGCGGAACCCCACTACGGAAGTTCCTAACGAATTCCGGACCCCATACCCCACATATCATCTGCCAACGTCACTGCGCACCGGTTGATAACGAAGATTTGGGGTTGAAGGATTTGGGGCACATGGGCTCAGTAAGAACATGCAGGTAGAGGTGGCTAGTTGTCGTTTACAAGCTCTGTGCTGCTGAAGGAATGGCGCCGCATGATGACGTGTCTAGCTCTCTTGAGGGGGGTTGTACACGACGAACATGTGCACACCAGCCTTAGATGGGAAGCTTTCTTATAATGTTGATCGAATTCATAAATCCCATGTTTATTTTACGGTTTTGCATCATCGAATTCTGCGAGGCGTTTCCATAATGTTGGTATTTTCATCATGTTCAGTGAAGCAAGGATATTTCTCTAATTTGCAATCAATGCCACAAAACCCGTCCATAACTAAGTCTTGGATATTTTAATCTTCTAACTTGACAGTTTCGCCTCGCTGTCCTTGAAATCCGGCAGCTTGAAAAGCTTCTTGGCATTGTCCCGTCCAATCTTCCTCTTGTCAACCACGTTGATAGGAAGACCATCGTACCAGTCGCAACCGTCCGCAAATGATTCAAACGGATAATCGATGGAGAAAAGGATTCTGTCGGCGCCGACCTCCGTCATACAGAACTGGAGTGTTGTTGTGGAGAAGTGGCCGCTGGTGGTGATCCAGAGGTTGTCTTGGAAGTACTCCCGAATCGTCTTTTTGCATGACAACCCCAAAGGCTTCTTAACGTCCTCAAACCAATGGGAGATTCGCCACAAATCGAACCATTCGGCCGTTAATTTGAGCTCATTTGAAGGGTTGTTGATGAACTTACAGGAATATGCTCGCCGAGATGGCCGAGGATGATCTGGAGCTTTGGGTGGCGGTCGAAGACGCCATTTGTGACCATACCAAGTGCGTGCAGACTAACACCGTGCGCAAAGCTCAGAGGAGGACCAATAAGCCATGAGCGCTTAGCCCAGAGCTTTTCGTGGAGGGTGCCGGTCGGGTTCCTGGGGTGCAGATAGAAGGGAACATCCAACTCGGTCACGGTGGACCAGAACACGTCCCACTCAGGGCCATCATAGAAGATCATGTCGTCTCCATCAGGACCGGCACGCTGCGTGTCGTTGACAAGAGCACCGAGGAATCCGTATTGTGTCACACAGCGTCTGAGTTCATCTGCAGCCTCCTGGGGATCGTGCATGGAAAGCGTGCTGGTACCGCATTAGCTTGACGCCGTTTTTTTTTTCTTTTTCCCCAACGCTAAAATCGGCAGGAACTCACGCGAATGCGCCAAAGCGGTTAGGGTGCTTCTTGACTTCCGGGGCGATGTAGTCGTTGATTTCCTTGGCCAGGATCTGAGCCTCCTTGGGGTCCCAGATGTCCTGCACGCCGGGCGCGGTGTACGACAGGATTGTGAAGCCGACGCCGTGCTTGTCCATATAGTTCAGTCTGATGTCGGCGACATCTGAGATCTCGGCGGCGTGCTTCTCGGGGTCGACGGCGAAGAGAGAGGCCCACCAGCGGGTCTTTTCTTGGAATCTCGGGAGGGCGAAGGCCTCCTCCAAAGCGATCTTGCCGAGCATTTTGAAGGTTTTACTAATTACGAGTGAAGGGAGATGAGATCGTTTCCGGCACGTCGTATGAGATTCGCAGGAGGATGAAGGGTGTAAATGCAGATGAAGTCAGATGAAGCCTGGAATGAGGCTTGAATTCTCTGGGCACGCGAATGACATTTATATGTAGATGTAGCTCCCGGCTGTATGCGAGTTCATCGTCACACATAAGCCGAAACGGCCGTGGGATGACCGCTTGGCACAGATGTATCCCCGTGGGAGCCCCAGTTCCCCCTCTCTCCCACCGGAGAGGCGACTATGCACCGGGCCGCCGAGATTCTTCCCGCGTCGGGTGCTTCATGACCCTGTTCCCGGTGTGTTATCAGGGTAGCTTTCTTTTGGATTGCAGAAATAGTGGTAAACCAGACTAGTTTGAACATCTCTTAGGAGGTTCCGTCCAGGTGTTCCGCATTGTCGGGTAGCGCACCAGAACACGGTGCGGGGTTTGCGGCGGGTACGGTCGTCTGTTCCCTCAGCCGCTCCGACCCGATGCCAACTCGATCACTTTCTGTTGGAACGTGAGGCGATGTTGCCGAAATTATCTTCACATTTGGCATCGGGGAATTTGTGGAGAGGCGCTTTAAGGCAATGGCAAGACCTACTGAAGCATGAATAGCTCACAAAGCTTAGAACGGGAAGCCGAAAATTTGATTGAAATCACACCGTTGAATGTGCGTCTTGATTCAAGGACAGCGACACAGGTTTATGACAATCAATTGATTCTCCTGTCCATTTTACTTCATAATTAATAGCTTTAAATCAGATCCTGAACTCAAGAGCTTTTGCTAGGACTGTGAACGTTCATTTGATCTTGCCCAACCACGTACAAAGCCCGGCACAAGATAAAGCCAGGAACACGTTGACAAGCTGGCGGAGAAACGAATCGCGGATACATGAAAAAAAAATTGGCGAAGTCCGCAGAGAAAGTAGGTAAAGACGATGAACCAATTGTCTCATGCCATAGTCACCAGCAACATACCCTTAGAAGTTATGAAGAGGGTCACCGATCAAGCCAGAGAGTTTACTGACGTCAACGCCACTGTACTGTTGGAAAATACCACCGCCAAACCCAGCCAGCGCAGAGCCCACGGTAGATTGAAGGCTTGCGACGTAGCGCCACTGTGAATAATGGTCAGCTCATGCCCGATGGAAAGTCGAGCGACGTACCTGAAAGGCTGTTATGCCCTTGTCATGATACGCCAACCAGCGGGAGGTCTGGTCGGAGTTCTGGCCGTACTGAAATGAGTCGTCGACAATGACGGTGTAATCTCCATCGTCGGTACTCCTGGAGAAGAAGCTGAAGAGATAGCTGAACCAACCGGCCGACGACCGAATGTTTTTGTTCTTGAAGGAGTCAAGATAGCTTGTCTGGATGAAGAGGACGCTCTGCTCATCTCCTGTTGCAGAGTTAGCCGGGGCATCATAAGCATGAAACTACGACAGAGACTGCAGAGAGTACTCACCTTTGTCCTTGTTGAAGAAGGGAACAGAGTAGTAGTCTTGGGAATGCATCTTGAGACTCTGTTGCCATTCGACCGTGACCTTTTTGTCAGTGATCTCGCTGGCAGGGACGTGGATTCTGTTGCCCTTTTCGACGACCATCTTGAAGTGGCTTGATTGATGTATCTTGCTACAATTCTGAGTAGAGAGTTTGAAAAATTTACTTCAGATAGGTAGGTGTTATGATACCCTCAATCTGAGCTATAGCCTCACCGCCTATTATATGACGTGTAGTATTATATAAGCTGCGTATATAGATATTAGCCTATAATATAGATTACCCTTCTAAATAGTTACTCTTATAATATACCTTTATTCCTAATAACCTATATACCTATAACTTATAAGAGTTATAAGCCTAGCTCTATTAATAGCTTAAATTACCTCTCTACTATAAGTTATATATAGAAAACCTATTCCTATCCTTTTTATTAATTCTTTTATTATCTTTATCTATTATATCCTCTACTAATAATAAAATTCCCCTTATAGGAGATATTCTTATATTA